TTTTTTCTAAATCGTGTCTTGCTGTGTTTTCCAGGACAGTCTGAAGCTCCTGAGCTCAAATGATCCTCCAACCTTAGCCTCCTGAGTGCTGGGATTTGCAGGTGCACACACCACTGAGCCTGTTTGCAAAGAACTCTTAAAACTGAACCATAAGAAAACACAAAACGCAATTTAAAAATGTATATAAAGTATAAGATATAAAACGTATAAGAATGAAAAAAAGATCTGAACAGACATTTCACCAAAGAAGATACAAATGGCAAGGAAGCATGTCAAAAGATGCTCAACATCATATGTCACCAGGAAATTGCAAATTAAGACAACAATGAGACACCACCACATCTATTGGAATGGCCAGAACTCTAAAAACAATGACATCACCAACTGCTAAAGAGAATGTGGATATTCAAAATAATACAGTCCCTTGGGAAGATAGTCTCACAATGTTTTACAAAGATGAACATAGTCCTGCCATATGACCCGGCAGATTTACCAAAGTAAGTTGAAAACTCACACATACACACATACACACACACACACACACACACACACACACACATAATGTTTACGGCAGCTTATTCATAATTACAAATTAGAAGCAATCAAGATGAAATAAATGCCATGTGATAGAATATTATTCAGTCATAAAAAGGAATGAGCTTAGCCAAGATGTGGAATCCTAAGTGTCTAAATGGTTGAGTAGGAAATGAAAACATGGAATAGTAAGCCTTTAAAATAAAGCAAATCCTGCCATGTGTGACAACATGAACGAACCTGGAGAACATTGTGCTAAGGGAATTAGACCAGGCACAGAAAGACAAATAGAACATGATTTCACCTACATGTGGAATCTGAAAAAATCAGACTTACACAAGTAGAGAGTAGAACGGTGGTTCCCACAGGCTGAGGGTCAGGGGCAGTGGGGCTAGGAAGAAGCTGTCCAAATGCTACAAAGTTTCACTTAGGAGCAATAAGTTTTTAAGACTTATTTTTAAAATATGATGATCAGAGTTAATAATGTATTGTATTTTCAAAATTGTTGGAAGAATAGATTTTAAATGCTTTCACTACCAAAAAAAAATCAGTACGTAAAGTAATAAATATGTTAATTACCTTGATATAATCACCCTACAATGTATACATATATCAAAATTTCACATTGTACCCCATAAATACATACAATTACTGTCTGTTAAAAATTGGAAAAATTTAAGGAATAAAATTTTTTAAATGAGCTATCAAGCTATGAAAAGACATAGATGAAACCTAAATACATATTGCTAAATTAAAGAAACTAGTCTGCGAAAGCTTAATTCTATATGATTCCAACTATATGGTATTCTGGAAAAGGCAAAAACATAGAGACAGTTAAAAAAAAGATTATTGGCTGGGATTTGGAGTCAGGGGTAGGGAGGGGTTTGGGTAGGTGGAGGTCAGGACTTTCAGAACATTGAGGCTATTCATATGATATTGCAATGGTAGATATATAACATTGTGCACTTGTCAAAACCTATAGAACTGCACAGCACACAGAGTAAATGACGAACTTTCAAAATAATAATATATCAGTATTGCTTCCTCAACTGCAAAAAAAAAAAAATGTGCCACACTAATGCAAGATGTCAACAGTAAGGAAGCTGGGGGAGGGGTGGGAAAGAGGAGGATGTTTATGGGAACTCTGTACTTTCCACTCAATTTTCATGAACCTAAAACTCATCTAAAAATCAAAGGCTACTAGTTAATTTTAAAAAGAAAAAGATTTAGTGATGATCTATATGGCTTAGGAGTGGATGAGCCCAAATTCAAGCCTGGATCATTTTTGCTCAGAAATGCACACTTTTACTGGGTACCATGCCTGCTTGGCATTGGCTCTAGTGAGCTATCACGACTGATTATTTACACAGCATATCTGTTTTTCAATGGATCAGGTGTGTATTTGATAGGTGCTCTGCAGTGTGGAACGATGAGGACCTTCTCTTTGGTCATGTCCAGCAGTCCAATGGAGTATCGTTCACAGTTCAGGTAAGTTCTGATTGTGTACAGCGCTTTGTGAAACTGTCGCTCAACATCTGTGAGCTCTTCAAATACTTTGTTGGCTGACCACATAAGAATCTGAAAGTAGATATTTTTTAAAAGTACAGTTAGAACAAAATACACATTTTGTTTAGCATTTCACTGCCCCCTCCCCCCAAAAAACAGGAGGTGCATCAAATAAACTGAACACGTGTCACTCGATGATGCGATTCTATTTTTAAGCACTATGCACCCAGCAAACTTCTCAGATTATCTGAGTGGGATGATGAAGGATTAAAAAACAAAATTTATGGTCAGGGTATGTGAGTCTGGAACCTCAGTTTCCTCATCTGAACAATGTAGGAGCAGGTATTGGGATTGCAAGGCCCTGGTGAGACCTTCCCATTGCAAGGCCATGGGTTTATAAAGGCAGAGAAGCCATGATGAGACCCCCCATATCCAAATGTTTTGGCTCCAAAGGGCAAGTGCTCTCAAGTTAGATATCAAGAAAGTTCCTGGGCAGAGGTCCACTGGCTCCTGCTGGCCATGTGGGTAGAAACCTGCAGGACTCTTTCATGCACTCATAACTAGTCAGAGGCAGCCTGACCTGGAGAGTTAGAATGGGGAGGGACCTCAGAAGCCCCCCATCCCAACAATATCCCTGCATTGTACAGATGAGGAAGCTGAGGTTCTAGACTCAGGTATCCTGGCTACAAATATTGTTCTTTATCTTTCTGCCTCATGGAAACAATGAACCTCAAAGAGTGATTTTTTTTCTTCAAATCAATAGCTTCACCATGATCTAGGAACTGATAAGAGCTTTATGTGAGATCTAATGTCAATTTTTTTTCCTAATGACAATTTAATAGTCACACTAACCATAAGGATAGGAACTCTAATTATCATCACCATCTCAGAGATGAAGAAACCAAGGCCACGCTGGATTTAGTCTTTAAAAAAAAAAAAATAAGCTGAGCCCAGTTGTATTTCCAGAGGGAGGTTTGAGGGGGTGGGGTAGGGAGACATGAGGGGACACCCAGGACTGAACTCTAGGGATCTATTTCATGTGGCTTAAATCTCCATGAGGGAGAGGAAGGGTCTGGGGCTCTTTGTCAAAACAGGTCAGCATGACTAATGTCACCTTCTTTTACCTGGCTTCTTCGGGATTCAATATTGTATAGGTAGTTGGTATGATGAAGTTTTAGGATGACAGAGACAAAGTTGAGGTATTTGGTAAAGACCTACAGATGGCAGAGAAGAACAGATCATGGCTCCAATACTTTTCCTCTGATTATACAATAAATCTATTTCCTGCGCCTCTAAGTGCATGCGCAAAGTTAGCATTACCTCTTCGTCCTGTTTGGAAAACTCAGATGCATTTACTTTGTTCACTGCCGCCAATACTGCAAGAACCTCTTTGCCCATCACGACGGGGGCTGCCAACAGGTTCTTAGTGACGTAGCCAGTTTGTTTGTCCATGACGTCAGAAAAATGGTTGTTCTGAAAAACATGTTCACATGTTGTCAACATGGCACATTTTGGTAGATGATCAAAGACATTTCCTCTAATCCAAATCATACCGATGATAACTGGTGACCCAGAACAGTGGTTCCAAACATTCCCCAGGCACCCCGCATTCTGTGACTGCATGGGATGAAATTGCCCATTTCAGATGAGCTTGTCCTACCTGAGCTGTGGCTTGTCTAATTTAGGCTGAGGTTGGGCCAGGAGGAAAGAAGTATGTCACAGCAGAGTGAAAAGGAAGGAAGGAGAAGCACAGGGTGTCCACAGATAGGAAGCCTGCAAAGGGGAGGACAGTGATCTGGGAACAGGGACTTTATTCTCAAATACAAAAGAGTCCACCTCTACAATTCAACACAAAGGAAAATAACAATGATCCTCCAAAATCCTTTCAATCTCTCCTATTGAGGAAATCAGTGTTTCCTTCTATGCCTTTCTCTGTGCATAGACAAAGATCTTTCATTTCTATTTTTCTCCTTTTCTTAATTTTATATAATTCTTTCATCACTTCACAATGTCTGTGGACATCCCCCAAGACAAATGCATATGGATTTGAATTCACCTCTTAGCTTCTTGCCCAGCACCACACACTATGGATGCTCTGAGAGCCATTCAACTGTCTTCCACTGATTCTGTTTAGAGTCCCCTTCCCTCCAAAAAACAATACCACACTAATCATTCTTGCTTTTGCTTTTACACAATGGATTCCCAAAGTGGAAAACCCTTTTGCTGAATTGACAGGTTATTTGCAACTTTAATTTGCACAGATTGCTTTTCATGAAAGCATGAAATCTGTACTTCCACTGTGTGAGGAGACCATCCTCTTGCCAGCATCAAGTACTTATTAGCTTTTTAATATTCTACCAAGCTAATATCTTTTATTCATATATATTTTTTCTTTCTTTGGGAGAGAGGGAAATGGATCTTCACAGATATGAACTTTCTATATTAGTGTATAGAAGATGATTCTAGAAGAAGGTCAAAGAAGGCAGTTATTATATTATTTGCAATTTCAGACAATACCCATTCGAGATGGATGGAGACCCAACCTTCTATGAGTTCTGACATTCTTCCCTTTGAACTTGGGTCTTTTTCAATTGGCAGTGAACTTTCTGCCTACCTCTGAGATTCACTGGCCAAAATTAATGTCCTGTTCTATTCTATGCATAGATAAGTTGTATTCTTTTCCTTACCCTGTGTTGATGGTGCTTCTAAAAGCAGCATCAACCTTGGAGGCTGTATTCTGATCAGATTCCGAGGTAAACACATGAGAGTTCACTGATGTGATTTGCAGACCAGAATTGCCCCAGGGAACAAGGACTTGATGGCCAACAGGCCTGAGAATGCAACTCAGAGCAGCAGACCCCAGCTGTGCCTCAGAATCCCCAGCAGATAGTCAGATTCCAAGACCTCACTGCAGACCCACGGGGACCCATCAAGTACCAAACTCCCAAACTGGAATGTCTGTTCCCCAAGAATCTGTACTTTTAGTGCTCCAGGTAATTTTAATGTCAAACTCAGTAGGTCAATCACTAGAAAACGGACCATTCACAAAGCAAATGGGTGATGGCTGGGGGAATCCAATGAAGCCCTTCATCCCAGATTTCTTCGATTCCCTTCCCAAAGCAGAAACACTTAAACCAACTATTTCTTCAGGAACCAGCATTGCATAACGAAGAAGAAAATTCTTGAGTCAGACTTCCTTGACTAAAACCAGGCACCAATCTACTAGCTATGTGATCCTGGACATGTTACTTACACTCTGTGTCCTTGTTTCCTAATCTGAAAAGAGGGGGGATAGTATTTTCTACTACTTAGAGCCCATGATGTAAAGATAGAACAATTTTGATATAGCATGGCTGGGCACTCAGAAAGTGTCTCATACATAGTAGAAGCTCAATAAATGCTGGAAAGAAAAACCTTGGCCTTTTTTTGGTACATCCTAGGTGAAAAGTAGTTCTCTTTTGCAATTACCCTTTTGCTTCGGGTCCTAGTTTTTCTAACAAATTCTAATCACTGAAGAACTTAGATGCCCTTAGTTGCGTACCACTCTCCTGTGCCTAGGAGCACCTTCCTCTAAGAGTCAGCAATTCTGTCCCATGCCATTAAGAGCCACATTTCTTTCCTGACCATTGTTATCTGTTTCTTCTCTCTGCTTCCTGGAACATTTTCACCCTCAGCTCAGGAAACCTCCAGACTCTTAGATTCTTTCTCTTAATCCATTGCTTGCCTAGGCCAGCTCTCATCCTGTTTTCCTCCTATTATCCATTACAGATTGTGGTCACCTTCATTTACACAGCCGTCCCAGGCACTAAAAAATAAATAAAACCCAGAAGCATGCACCACCGCAGGGAGACAGGCAGCATTTCTCTCCAAACACATTTATCTCAGCAGCTTCGAACCTTGATGCCATTTCGTCCTAGATTCTCAAGTTCCTTTGGCTGTTTTGAGAAAACACCTTTTAAGTTTCAAAATTGAATGCATACTCATTATCACATCTGAAAGTCCAGGATAAATCATCCATCAAATTACAGGGCAGGGGAGGTGTGGCTTTCTAGTTTTTTTTTGTTTTTTTTTTTTAATTTTCACTAACTCAAATAGTCCTTAGTGAAGTTCTTTGGGTAAATCCTGTGTTTCTAGGACTCCCAAATTCTCTTGATGGTCCTCCTTCCCCGCAAGGAAGCTCCCGAAGGCAACCAGGGAACATGGTTTCGGGCAACAGGATGCCTTATCCCTCCTGATCTCAGTGTGGCTAAATCCTGATTAAACACCATTAACCCTTGGAATCAGGAGGCAGCCAGGGAGGTAAAGAGGAAGAAAGAGGAGAAAAGAAAGGTAGCTCTAGGCATCCAGTTAATTATTGAAAATTTCAACCTTCTCCTGTGGCTTTCTTTTAAACCACAGTCGGATTCAGGACCATCCATACCGTTAATGAACAGCTTTCCCAATAGAAGAAGAAACAATTAGCTCTAAGAGGATATTTCTCTTTCCTGTTGTTAAAAGTTTTCCTGCCTTTAACCTGTTTTAAGAAAGTCATTGACACTTCATTCCCAGTCCCCAAAGTCGTACAGGCATAATGATGATCATATCATAACTAGCATTTATTGAGCACCTACTCTGAATCAGGCACCTTGTGTACATTCAATCTATACATTTAGTTGTCTCTATTTCTCACTGGTGGAAATTCAATCCATAACACAGTTACTAAACCTCAGACTTGGCTCTACACCAAAGCATTTGCCCTACACTATATAGCGTCCCTGTTACCACCTTCAGGATCCCAACGTGGAGAGTACCCAGCTCCGCATCTTTGTCTAGGTGCTAACCAGAATGAAAATCATGTGTGGTAGAAAGAGGAAGGCCTTGAAGACCTGATTATTGTTGTGAACCTGACACAGCCTGCCTACCTGACCTTGAGCCGATTCCCACTACACAGATGGAAATACAATGAATGATCCCCATCTCCTGCACAGGATCTTTGGCAGAATCAAATAAGATGAAGAATGTAAAAATGCTTTATAAATTGTCAAGTTGCAATAGAAAGGTGATGAATGCATCCGAAATTTCACTTTAAACAGTGGTTTCCACCTGCTTTCTTGTTGCAGATTTTCCTGCAGGCGAAAGCATGGCGAAATGCAGAGTATGAAGACAGTGCTAGCCTCAGACTCAGGGGGCTTCATTCCATTCTGGCCTTTCTCACTCACAGACATGTACCATGGACTATGGAGGAGATACAACTCGGGGACCTCAGCTGTCCATTTGCCACAGAACAGACAGCGTTAGACTAGAGAGCACCAAGCCCTTCTCATCTCTCATATTCCACAGCTAATTTGAAATTCAACTCCTCCTCCTGGGTCTGCTCACCCAGTGAACCTGTGGCTTTCAACATGGGCTGTCTATTAGAATTAGCTGGGGAGCTTTTTTTAAAAAAAAAAAAAATACCAATGTCTGTGTCCCAACCTGAGAGTCCAGTGTAATCACCTCAGAAACTCAGGCATCAATATTTATTTTTTTTTAAGCTACCTGTTTGATGTTTGAAGAACAGACAGAGTTGAAAAGCACCATGCTGGGGGGAAAAACAGAAATGGAAAGCAAGTCAGATCTTTTGCTTTCCCCTGAGTTCAGAAGGGTGTAGGACACACTTCTCTGTCCTACCTAGAACAGCAGAAGTCATCAGGAGAAGGGAGACGCCCATTTCCCCACCCCATCTCCCACCCTGAATTGCCCTATCCCTGTGGAAATGCCCACCACGGACAGTGACAGGCCAGTGCCGCTTCATCTTTTAAGCAGCTCTATTCTGTTTTCTCCTCAACCTGGAGCCCTGAGCTCATTAAAGTATTATAGTAGAAATCATTTACCCACCCGTCCTTCAAAAAGAAAAAAAAATCTCAGAAAAGCCAGGTAATTGGTGCCCCAATTATTCTGGGGGCTAAGGCAGGAAGATCGAAAGTTCAAAGACAGCCTGGGCAGCTTAGCAAGATGCTGTCTCAAAATAAAAATTAAAAAAAAAAAAGGGCTGGAGAGGTAGCTTAGTCATAAAGGGTACTTGAGTTCAGTTCCCAGTACTTAAAAAAGTCAGAAAAAACATTCTTGAATGTCAACTTCTTAAATTTGATGTTCTAGTGATTCTGAAGGTGGGCTCAGTTGGAAACTGTGAAGAAGCAGATTCCCATGAGAAAATCTCAGGGTGTGGGGACACAGCCTGTGAGCTGGGGTCAAGAGTAGCCTGTCTTAAGAGCACATATCTGTTTAGCCACTGGAAGCAGCTGCCATAGCTTCAAAAGAAAACTTCAAGCAGCTCCAACTCTGTGAAGGAAGGTTCTAAGAGAGGGCGGGGGTAAGTGCCTGACGAAGTCCCCTACACCTGAGGACTGACCTGCAATTGTTTGCTGCAAGTGTTTGACAAACCACTTCTCCCAGGCCTGTGCCAGCCTCCTCCAGTAATCAGCTTCAGAAGGCATCGAGGGGATTATACTCCTGGCTCTCCAGCTGCCCTGGTCACCTGCGGGCAACGGACCCCTGCACAGAATGCATTTCAGGGGCTGCTCCCTCCTGGGCACCTCTGCTCCATTGTAATCCATTTCTCCCCTTTTGTTAATAGGAAATCATAGCAGTGGGGCTCAGGTGCAGAGACAGGGTGCCAGGAGAAACTCCATGCTGAAGTTTCATGTTGCTAAGTGTTGGGTGTTTAATATTTTACCATTTTTCTAAAATGAATATGTATTGCAGTGGTAAGAAGAGTTAAATTTTCTGTTTTTATAAGGGGATATAACAATGCCTTGTATTAATACAATGTGCTTTGGGTCTTCAGGGGGGGTCCCAGTATCCTATTTAATGATACGCATTCGTTCTTGATAGATCTGAGTTATTGAGGGAGGAGGGTAAGCTGTACTTAACTATCTCCTAAATTCACATTTGTAATGAGCCAAATCAAACATCTGAAATTTCAAAGGGTATAATTTTTTTTCTTTTGGCACATTTGCTCTATCCATGAAAGAATGGATTTATGGACAGATCCAACCCCAAGAACTGCTTGTCCTCTTGAGGGTTGTGAATCAGAGGCGTGGGAGCATTGGGCATGTTGGCTGATCCCCCAGTGGGGTGCCCTGCTTGCCTGGGGTTGTTCAAAAAAGAATCTTCAAAGCCATGAGGAGGTAGGGAACTGGTGGAGACCACACCAGGCCCAGGCAGGCGTGTCTGATAAGGTGTCCAACACACAAGGACATACTGAGAAACATTACTGGCCATCTGAAATTTATTAACGTATTTTTATTTGCTAGATTTGGCATGGCTGGGCCTGTGTGCTCTCCTTTTCCCATTGCCCACTCTTCCAGGTTTTCACCAAACCAGTGGCACCAGAGGGGTGCCATCTGTGTCCCACTGGTTCCTTCTGATCCTGCCAAGACCTCTGCCCCACTATCAGAAGGTCACCTAACTTTTCTCTTCAGATTTTTTTTTTTTTTAGTTGTAGATGGACGCACTACCTTTATTTTATTTATTTATTTATTTATTTATTTATTTATTTATTTATTTATTTATTTATTTATTTATTTTGTGTGGTGCTGAGGATGGAACCCAGCGCCTCACACATGCCAGGAAAGCGCTCTACCACTTTGTGCGCCACAACCCCAGCCCCAAGGTCACCTACCTTTTTCACATCTGGGACATTAAGGGGTTTCTTCGTGTGAGCAACCCAACCCACAATCCCGACATCCAGGGGAAACACCACTTCTTTATCAGGGACCACCAAGTTGTCCTCAAACTTGGAGGTCGGGGTGATGTCCAGCAGCTTTGAGGCCATCTCCGGCGTGCCATTGCGGGAACGGCATATGAACATACTGCAGCGGTCGGCCTGCAGCAGCTGGGCCATCCTCTGCAGGACCTTGTGTGCCGTCAGCTCGGCACTGCTCCCCTCCTCCTGCACGGACCACAGCAGCTCCAGGCACACAGCGGACTCCTCCACCTGCGTCAGCTCGGGCAGCGACATGCTGGCCTGGACCGGCACCCGGCTGTTCTTGAAGATCTCTCCCAGGACCTCCACCCGCAGCTTTTTGTCGAAGTATTCCTTGGCAAACGCAGGGTTCTCCTCCAGGTATTTTTCCACAGCATTTTTGTTGATCTCACCCATGGTGTGGCTTGCTTTGCTGCTGTTGTTCAGAAAGGAAAATCCTCTAGAGCGTGACCTGAGCCAGAGTGACAAGAAGGAAGTACATACTGGTCAAAATGACTGAAGGAATCCTAGGTGGTAACTCCTAAGACCCCCAAAAATGGAGCTGAAAGGTTGCTCAGGGGAGCCTTCAAACTGCCTGTAATTCCTGGGATGTGACAGAAGGCTGTGGCTTATGATGGGCTTCAGGAAGCAGAGGATTAAAGAGTTCTTCAGGACACTAAATCCCTGAGCATTATTAGCCCCTAAGACCTCAAAGAACACTCAGAGCATCCTAGATCAGCCAGGCAAGTGTCAAGTTGGAGTATCTATTTCAGAAAAAAATAACTGAACGGCTGCTGTCCAGAGCAAGGAAGAATTACTAACATATTCCATAATTATCAGCATCATCTGGCACTCTGAATTGCTCTTGCATGATAGCTATAGAAAGTGCTTGGGTTTCTTGCTTGTTTGTTTACATAGCAACTTTAATGAACTTTGTGGGGAGAGGGAAGGTGTAGCAGCCATCATCAGTGCAACATAAAAGTGATTACTAATCTTTCACCTTTCTTAGAAGCCATGGTCACTCAGGTCGCTTGGATTATTCTTTCTCCAAAACCCTCACCTCTCAACCACCCTCTCTAGAAAGCTTGACCTAGGAAGTTTTTAAAAGGAACAAACTTGGGTTTATTACTAAAATGGCAAACACAGGAAAACATTTTCCTACGAATCAAGCTTAATCAAGGCACAGATTGAACCCTAACTCGTTAAGACAGTGGATTGCAAAAAGTGATCCATATGGTGACAACTGAGTTTCCCTGTTAAGAAAATTAGTGTGGATTTTGTTTTTTTCAATAGGAGTAGCCAGACATCATGCATTTTTGCTCCAAGGTACAGTATATTAACCTACTGGACAATAGCTATCTTGTCAGTTGCTAGGATCCTCAACATCTCAGGGGCTACTGGCATAGTAAGAACACTTACCACTATTTAGTTTTGTTTAATGTTCAGCTTATTAAGCTTTTACGTCGATTAAGCACATTCCCCAAATATTTAAACACTATTATGCAACTAATAAATCAAACTATGCATTTCACGAACCAATTGTCTCAAATATTTAAGTGCTGGTTTCAAACTTAGTGACAGTCTTTTAAAACCTTTCAGTAAAGCTCCAACCTAGGGCTGGATTGTGGCTCAGTGGTAGAGCGCTCGCTTGGCATGGACGGGACCCGGGTTCGATTCTCAGCACCACATAAAAATAAAAGGCAGTGTGTTATGTCCATCTACAAAAAAGATTCTCTCTCTCTTTCTCTCTCTCTCTCAAAAAAAAAGATAAAATAAAATATTTTTAAAAAGCTCCAACCTAATATGACATATTCTCTTAAGTGAAAAATATACAATATTTTGTAGTGGCTCTAAAAAATTATTATGAGGCCCACATTTAAGTTTGCTTCAAAAAGAGTGACTGTATGGGTTTCATTTAGTTCTCTAAACTTAAAGCTTTACCTTGCTAAGGTGATGATGATCTTATTACTCATAATAAAAAAAAAGAGGTTGAGGTCATAGGTTCTAGGAGTTGAGTCAACTGAGACACCCCTCCTATCAGACTACCATCATCTTCTAATGCAGTTTTGGATACTCTTCTACCTGGTGATTTCCTGTGACTATGGTACAGTTCCTATTTCTTCCTAAATTATGCAGTATTCTCACAATTCCCTGGTTCCATCCTTCTCTCTTTAGATAGAGAACAACATGTATCTGTATTCCATAACTCATTCATCTTTTGTGTTGTCATTGCTAGCTCTCGACCACTGAGCTACACTCCCACTCCTCTGTACACAAATTTAGACTTAATAGGAAAATCAATATGTGCTTGTGTTGATATTCTCCTATTTATAAAAAGAAAAGTTATTAGAAAAATAAACATTCTATTTTAGGCAGCGTTGTTTTATTTTTATAATTCCTTGCAGATTTATTTATTTGCTCATTGTTTTAACTTCTGTCTATTGATGGTCCATTTTAAGCAGAACACCCATAATAGCTACTGTGGCTATTATGAACTTCATGTTCCCTTTGTAAGATTCTTCTCTCCTCTCAGTAATATGGAGTGATTACTGTTTTTTTGCTATTCCTTCTCTAGTGAGTCCATAGGACTAATTTTGGCCAATGGACCAGAGGCAGAAATGCCACTTTCACATAGAAAATAATTAAGTGCCAATGTGAGACCCTCCAGTGTTCTGTTCCCCGTGCTGCCATGTTAGTTTCAGTGGATTCACTCTTCAATTCCAGAGTGAGGAGGTCAGGGAACAGAGGCCCCTGCTGACCTGAGATGGACGTGTAGCATGAGGATCTTGTTTGCAGCCTTTGAGACAAGAGGGCTGTTTTTTACTGCATCTTAGCTGAGTGAATTCTGATGGGTACACTTCCACTGCAGGAGATGTGGGGAATGAAGAAGGCTTGGTCTCAGCGTTACAAGTACTTGTAGTGTAGTAAGGGAGAAGAGACTGGTACATAAAAGCCATAAGCCATAGAAGATAATATCATAAGTGCCAGAAGTGACATATGTACACATGGCTTTGAGATAACAGAAGAGGGGGTGCAGGTAGGGTGGAGGTCAAGCATGTTCTGGGTGGTATCAGCAGAGCAATGGCATGGCATAGCCTAACCAGGATAGTCTAGCAAGAGATGAGTATGGAAATGTAGATTGGGCCCAAATTACTGGGGCCTCAGAGTTAGGCTGAGAATCTTGAACACTAGAAAGTTTGGATCTGGGAGGTAATATTATTAGGGTTCTCCTTTACAAACCTAATCTGGTAGTGCTGAACAGGAAAAATTGGAGAAAAGAAACACTGGACATCAAGATACAGATTAAGAAGTTATACAGTAGTCCCCCTTATCCAGTTTCACTTTCAGAGGGTTCAGTTGCCTGCAGTCAATTGGAGCCCAAAAATATTTCATGGAAAGTTCCAGAAATAAACAATTTATAAGTTTTAAATAACTTTTAGTACAGTGTATTGTTATTTAATTCTATTTTATTATTTGTTCTATTTATTATTTGTTATAGTTGTTAATCTCTTACTTTGCCTACTTAACAAATAAAACTTTATCATTGGGATTATATACAGGAATAATACTTATAGGGCTCAGTACTATGTGTGGTTTCAGACATATGAAGAATATCTTAAAACATGTCCTCTACCAATAAGGGATCACCATATTACATTTGGCCCATCATCAAATACTCTAAAAAAATGCATATAGGCATTGAACTTATAATTCTGGTTTTATGAATTTATCTTACAAAATAATAATGTATATCATTAATGCAGTTACAAAGGTGCTTATAAAAAGCATGCTTATAAAAGATGTAAAACACACATACTTGTAAAAGATTAGAAATAGCTTAGATATTCAATAATAGAAAGTTGAATAAATAAATGCCATCCAATCCATAGAACAGAGAACTACATAGCTAATAATAGCAAAGTTGCAAAAGTCTCTTTATTGATATGAACAAAAATTTATAATGTGCAGTTAATTACAAACTAGTATCACAACATGTTTCCATTAAAACACACATACACACACAGCCATACCTATCTATCTATCTATGCACACACCTGTATATATACCAAAATGTAACTCATTATTTAAAAGTGATGGGACTTAAGACACTAATTTTTGTCTTCTCCTTTGCTTCCCTGATTTCTCTAAAGTGTCTATAGTGAACATATATCATTTATACAATGAAAAATGTATTGATTCATAAACAAAATCTTTGAGGCTGTCTCTATAGTCTATGGGTGAGGTTGCTTGGGTATGAGGAAGGAAGGGACAAATTTGAGACCCAACCCAACCCAACAAACATTAAGATTAAGCAGTTATTCATTAGAAAAAGTAAGCAAGAAAGGAGGGCTCCTGTGTATCGGCCTGTGGGATGGTTGGAATATTTGTATCTCCCCAAATTCATCTGTTGAAATCCTAACCCCCAATGTGACAGTGTCAGGAGGATCATTAGGCCATGAGGGTGGAACCCTCAGGAGCAAGATTGGTACTCTTCCAACAGGGACTCCAGAGAGCTCTCCAGTCCTCTTTCCATCATTTGAGGATATGGGAAAGAAGTGGCAATGTCGACTCGAGAAGAGGAAGAGCCCTCCCCGAACCCAACCATGATGGCACCCTGATGTCAGGCTTCCAACCTCCAGAACTGGAGGAATAAAGTTCTGTTGTTCATAAGCCACCCAGCTGATGCTAGTTTGTTAAATCACCTGACCTAAGACAAATGACATTTTATCAAGCAAAAATTTTCAAACAGGGAAAACTAGAAGCCTCAAGATCCTTTCTTTGTGTATTTAAAAGTTAAAATCTAGACAAATGGGGCTGGGGCTATAGTTCAGTGGCAGAGCTAATACGCATGAGGTACTGGGTTCCATCCTTAGCTCCACATAAAAATGAACAAATACAATAAAGGTATGCTGTCCATCTTTCTTCAAAAATCCAGACAAATATTAAATTTTGCATATTAATGTAAACGTTAAATGAAAATTTCAGGCAGTCCTTTTAAAAAACTTACAGATGTAGCAAAGAATGCTTTAACTTTCTTAAACTCTCTGTTTAACACTTTGACATTTGTCAGAGGTATTCTATATAAATGAGCACCTGTAATACTATCATTGCTAAAATTGTCGATTGCAGTTAACTATTTCTACAAGAAGTTAGACTTATATAATAGACAAAAGATATGCACAGAAAGTTGAAGTATCAACATGAAAAGCAGCAATAATGTCCAGGGCTGACTAAGTGCATTTCTGATCCTTACATTGAACCCACTCTTCAGCCCCCACTTAGCTACATGTTGTGTCCTGCCATTATGGACAGGAATTTCCGACATAGTCTGGCAACCAATATCACGTTGCTCCCAGGAGAGCCTTCTGCCTACATCTAATTGATAGGTATAACCAGATATTCTTGGAGACTATTCAGCAAGGGGGACCCATATTATTTTCACATAAATTGATGAGATTGACTGAGATCACTGAGCTTTCAGTGACTTTGCAACCACTGTAGGGGGGGTGGGGGGGAGGGAGAACCTTGTTAGAAAGATTATTTGACACTTTATACCAGAAAACATTGAATAACTAACCTCTTCATTTTTCAATCAATGACTTGGATATCTTTGAAAAGTAGTCAGATGATAAATGCTACCTGATTTTTTTATTTTTGATTTTTCTTGGCTTCTAAGAAAAAGCATTATCTCTTAGATTTCTTTTTGGGATGTGGATGGAAATATCACATTATACAAAATGCTCAATTTCAGGAAAGAAGATAAATGTCTTGCATTAGCTCCTCTTCCTTTAATTTTTATGGTCAAACATTTTTCAATATTTTCTAGGAGTTAAATGACTTTTTTTGGTTAGAATTAACATTAACTTCTGTTAATCTCAATAGCTTAATCCAATGGAATTTTATTTCTCATTCACATAAATTCATTTGCCAAAGGGAACCAGGCTGTTGGAAATTCCACCAGTAAACAATGAAAGAAGAAAAGAGAACATGGATGATGGGTCCGGGGCTAAACTGGCCTGACTGGGAGTGATAAACAGAACATTTCATTGACCAGAATTTAAGATTGTGACTTTATAGAGCTTTGGGAAGGGGGTACAGGGGAGACAAGGGCAGGCAGATGTAGTCCCCAACTTTATACCACTCCCCTGTAAAAATTTTCTGGTAAAACGACAAGTAGCCAACTTAAAAAATGCTAAATCCTGAGAATGTATATATTAGAAAGGGTGATATCTGATCAGGTCTTTTTAAAAAAATGCTTTATGAAGTTTATACAAAGTGCTTAATTTCAATGAAAAAAAATTAAATATCTGTGGATTAAGCACCTACTATGTGAGAGTGTCTTGATGCATCCCATGGAAAAGTAGGGGAAATGGACAGATACCAAGATGATCTTTCTTTTCACGAAGCTTGGCAAGGGAATAAACTTTATGTGCATTTTTTTGTGATTCATAAGGTGTAACTTCATAATTTCACTTATAAAGAAAAGGAAAATGTTTGCAAAGGAGATATTTGTTTTTGTTTTCTGATAAAATTATTTCCCTGTAGAAAATGTGAAAAATACAAAAAGGTACAAAGAAAACCAAATGTGTCTAGTCCCATCACATCAAGGTAACCATGGCAAACATTTTCCCTTTTGATATTGCATATATATGCATATTTGAAAAGTTATTTTGTGAGGATGAATGTCAAAGCATTGAAGTTAAAAAACATCAGTTGACCTAAATTCACATATTTGTAATCATGAAGAAATCTAAGAGATAATGCCAAAATAAACTGTTTTTCTTCTTTGGTATCTAAAACATCAAGGTTCACGATTTTTCATAAGAAGGGGAGGGAAGGGGCGTGTTTTAACCACCTAACAAATAAACAAACAGATGTTGCTGAAAAATGCAATCATCATAAAAATCCCCTGCATTTATTCAATATGCAGTATACCAGGGACCACCAGAGTGTGTTCTAGAGAAGTGGTTAGAAGGGCAGGGTGGAGGCATTGGGAAAATTTTTCTGGCAGTGATCAATTGTTCAAAGGTAACTGGCCTACATACACTAGGAGCTCTCTATCATAGGAGGAGGGAAAGCAGGAACAGAAAATCCTCTGCTCTGGAATGTTGAAGAGGGGATCTAAGCACTGCACAGGAATCAGAGAAGTGCCCAGAGGACCTTTCCCAGCCAGGGTGCACATATGGCCAAATGCATGGTTCCTGCAGGAAGGACTCTGGAGCATACCTTATTTGAGTTGTTGGGGATTTCAGTCAGCTTTCATCATCCATGGGTTCCGCATCCACAGATTCAACCAATGATGAATAGAAAATATTTGAAGGAAAAAAAATTCTGGAAGGATCCAGAAGCAAAACTAGAATTTGCTGCATATTAAGCATATGCCGAATCCATGTGAATGGAATGATGTGTAGGCACATGCTGCTGTGGTTTCCCCCCACTGCACAGATCCTCAGGCTCCCTGTACTCGGGCTGTTTGAGCATTGGTTGCCCTGCGCCTTGCTTATGTGCTATGTAAGTAGGTCCATGATGGTTCATCACTACTAATTTTTCTTGTCATTACTCCCCAAACAATACAGCTAACAACTATTTACATAGCAATACACAATGATCAGTTCTGTACTGAACATGCACAGACTTTTTTTCTTCTTCTTGTTTTGGTCATCATTCCCTAAACAATACAGTTTAACAACTATTTACACTACATTTACATTGTATTAAGTATTATAAATCATCCAGAGATTATTTAAATTAACAAGAGGATGGGCTAGGTTACATGCAATTACTATGCTACATAAGGAACTTGAGCTTCCCTGGATTTTGGTATTGGGAGGGTGTCTGGAGCCAATCCCTTATGGATACCCAGGAAGGACTGTAGAATTAGCGCAACCTGAAATCTTAGTTAACTTTTTGGCCAGAAACAGGCTTTTACAACTTTGGGATAGTAAGGAGTTAATACATTATGAAAATACCCCAAATTATGAAAAATTAATTATGAAAATACCTCAAAGATACTGTGACTCAAAGACATGCTTGAGAGGAAGGTGGGCAGACCAAGTAGGTAAATGTCCAAAAGGCTACAGTCGGCTGAAGGAAGCCATGATATCTTTCCAAGGTTGTTTTAAAAAGTAACTAAAGGGCTGGTCTGGGATCCACTCAACTCCTTGTTTCTCAGTTTGGCACCCATTTCCCCCTCCATCTTCTATTATTTCTGACTGCAACAAATAATTCATCTAGGTTCCTTCCAATTTGGGCCATGGAGACTCAGCTGATATTTTATGAAAGGAATCTTAAGAAATTTCTTTGCCATATCACCAATTCTCATTCAGCCAAAATCTTGATTGCTTTGGTAAGATTAATGGAATGGAAAGAGAAAAAATATGCATACATCAAGCCATGACGTACACCAAATACCTCAACTAGTTAGCAGCCCTTTGATTTAATTGACCCTTGACGTTGTAGTTTTTTTTTGTTTACTCTTCTGTTGTATCCACTACTCTGCCAACTCTACTGTTTTGAAAATAAAACAAAATTCCAATATGGATTTTAAATAAAAATGCATCATAAACAATTGGGGTGTGCATTCCAAGTGGTTTCAGGGAGTGCAGCAATGTAAGTAAGCAACTAACCGCTCCAACACCACAGTTGCTAAAATATTTCCCCTCCTGACCGGAGCAGCGTTTCTAGAGAATATTTAACAGGGAACATTTTAATGCTTCTAACGATGTTGAAACTAAAGAACAAATATTGACGCAGAGGGCACCACAACTCTCCCCAAAGAGTAAAATACATCCTTTATGAAAGGAAAAAGCACTTGGCCAAAATATCCCCCAAACCCTGCACAATTGGTCCTTAGAAGGCACAGGAGCCAATTTGGCACAGCCAGGACCTGGGCACTAATGCGCCAGGCAGCATCTTAGGTCTCTTCTCTCTCTGTGAGGCCAAGGTTTCCCCACCAAGCCCCACTGAGCCTCCAGCCAGCGCTACTGGGCTTGGAGGCCACCCCAGGCCGCAGCTGGCGGCCGCTGGCACAAGGGCTGAGTAACTGGGCCAGGACCTGGCCACGGGGCTGTAGAGTTTGGCCCAGTGAGGCCACCCTGCGCGGCAGCTCCACCAACCCCGGGCGGGCGGCCCCAGAGGTGAGGCTGGCCTAACGAGACCCTCCCTGCGCCCCGGGTGGCGGTGAGTCAGGGCGC